TTCCAAAAAGGAGCAATAAGACCAAGCATTCCATGGCGCCTAATCAACAAAAAGGAGCAAGTCCCAACAAAAAGAAGCAACCACACAAGCAAAAAAAAGTTTCCCCAACCAAGAAGAAGAAGAAGGGTTAGAGTTTAGGAAAAGGGTAGACCTAGGGTTTCATTTTGGGGTTTAAAAGATACTAGGTTCATCTTTGGGTAAAAGGGTAGAAGAGAGCTTTGACTTGCATGCATAGGTGTGCTTTTACCTTTAGCATTTTGCCTAAGATAGAGTCATTTCATTGAGTGATCCCTTATGTCTTTAGCCCATATCTGAATGAGATCATTTTCATCTCATGACCTTGTCCCTTCAACCAAATGTGTTCACTTGATTTGCATAAACTTGATCTATTGGTTACCTTCAATGAATGTTAAAGAGTTGGCTGATTTGAATGCTTGTGTAGGCTAAGCTAGAGTGCATTGTTTGCTATGATAGGTATGGCTAAGGCTTTTGAAGTAGAACAATCTCTTTGCATCTTAGAACCTATAACTTGAGCATTGATTTAATTTTTCCATTGGCATCTTTAGTTTTGAGCTCCCATTTTTAAACTTCACTCTCCCATTTGTTCTTATTTGCTTGAGGACAAGCAAAAGGCAAGTGTTGGGGTGTTGATATCTCAATCATTTGCATCATTTAGGCTTGCATTTAGTTCATGTTTTGGTCTATTTTGCATGTTTTCTCTCTCTTTAGTCCCATTTTCTTCTCCTTTTAGACTTATGTTACATTTTAGGTTGTAGTTTGCATTCTCTATGCATTTAGGACGGTTTTAGGTACTTAAGGAACTATTGGGAGCAAGGAGGAAGTGTGGGAATGGTTCAAGGAGTTAGCCAAGCTGAGAAGGAGCAAAAAGAGCTAAAGAAGGCGATTTCTGGCTTTCCATCGGTCACAGCACAAAACCCATCGGTCTGTTCAGATCGATTCTAGGTAGCAGAGGAATTGAAGATCCCGTAGAACAAGACCATCGGTCAAGGAGTGACCGATGGGAATCAAGCGGATGCACCATCGGTCAAGCCTATCGGTCAAGACTGACCGATGGGATCCAGCAGAAGTCCATCGATCAAGCCCATCGGTCAAGGAGTGATTGATGGGAACCCAGCGGATGCACCATCGATCACTTGTGACCGATACAGACCCAGACTAAAGACAACTTATTTACAATTTTGCCATTTTTGCCTAGACTCCTATAAATGCTTAAAATCCCTAATTTTTGGGAACATCTCTTTATCCAACATTTCTTTCCTCTTTTGTTTTTGCTTTGATCTTGTAGGTTGAATTTTTGCTTGATTTTAATAAGAGTTTGCATTTATATTCTTGTTTAATCTCTCTAATCATGTTTAGCTATCTTTTTTTCTTTGAATTGATGGTTTTGATGTCAATTAGGGAGTAGTCTTTTTTAGGGAATTGAGTTAGGTTAGGTTTAGGGGATTCCATGCTTAATCTATGATGCCTTAGTGTTAATTCTTTCATTTTCTTTCTTGATTGCTGTGTTTAATGCCTGATTAGCCTTAGCTAAGTTGATTGGATCTTAGGCTCATTTTATGCCCACCAAGTGTTTGATGAAATGTCTGAACTGCTTTGCAAGAGAATTGCTTATCCTAGCTCAAGAGATTGACTGTCTAGGGAGTTATTTGGCAATATGGATTGATATATTGTCTTAATGCTTGCTGTTTATCATTTCACTAATGAGAATTAGTTCTTGATTTGATAATTAGCAAAGATATTAGTATCAAGAGATTGGATTAGTCTTATAAATGAATTATATGCATAATGAATAGCATTGTGTGAGTTTGTAAGCATCATAGGTTGAGTTAAGAGTTTCCTAGCACCAATTATCTCATCTCAAGTCCCATATTTTCTCTGTTTTTAGTTGAATTTGAATTTGCTTTGTATTTGCCTTTGTTTTAGTTGTCTTGCTTTCTGTTCACTCTTTGTTTGATATTTGCTTCACTTCTGTTTGATCACTTAGGTTGTTAGACACTTCAATCTTATCTATATCTGTTTGAAGTAAGAGCTCTATTGCATTCTTACTGCTTCAATCTTCCCATTTTGGATTGATAAAACCTTTACTACAACTGATTAGTACAAAGGGTGATTGACCAAGAGAGTCAAGACTCTTGTATCATAACACCCCATGCATCCTCCGAAATGAGACAATCTTTCTTCTGGTTGAACTTCCAGTGCAATCCTGCTAGAGGATGACCCATTCCCATTAGAGGAGCTCGACCTCGCCCCAAGCTTGTCATCACCACCCCTCTCACTGTGTTTGGTCTCGGATCGAGGTCTCTTAGCTCCCAGCGAGGAACCCTACCGTGAGATGGACGAACTAAGTCCCGAGATGGCGAGACCTCCAAGACTTCCTCCGGCCTACTCGGAAGAATGGTCGCATCCTCTCCTCCCGCCGGAGATGGTTGTCGATGAATTGTTCCTTCGGAAGGAACCATGGTCTGAGCAGATGACACCACGTGAGCAGCGGGAGTGGTTGTTCCTAAAGCTTTCAGCAAAGTTTCGACGAGCTCTCCCAATTTGAACTTTCCGGCAATATTGACGGGACCTTTTCCAGCACGACGACTGCTTTGCTTGCGAGACATCTTTGATCCATCTGAGCACTGGTGGAGCTGGAGTCAAGAATTGGGTGAATTGGATATGATCAAGTTAATCATGAACAAATCAGAGTGGCTTCCCAAACACAAAACATAAAAAAACACCTCCTAACCAGACTGAAGCTTACCTAAACAAACTGATTCGTCTTTGATATGAACGGGAGATTGCGGAGCTTTAGGAGCTTGTTGATCTTGCTGATCCTGAGGAACGTCTCTCGAGAACTAGAGGCTGAATGCATGACAAATTCTCTCGGGATTAAACAAATTCCAGTGAACTTTATCTCTCCTGAGCTCCAGAACCAAAGTGCGCGTCAGAAAAGCAACATGATTCAGCAAAACAGAAGCAAAAAGCAAACAATGCTCCAAACAAACTAGATCATAATTTCTCTAACCAACACTAGTCGAACATGTCGTTGGAATCCATGATGGATCAAAGTCCCCTATCGAGGGCGGGCTAAGGCGGAAGAAGAACACTTTCTCGTTCCAGTTATCCCTGACAGGGACCTCCTCAAGCACTTTGCGCCGCGATCGAGGAAAAATATAGTATGTCTCTGAAAGCTTGACGTTATGCTTCACAACACAATAGTAGGATGCTCTTAGTGTTGAAAAATTGGTTCTCTTCCGGGCTCGAACCGCCACACCAATCACTGTGTGGACGAAGTTGGGGGCACATTTGGGGGAACACCAGTTGTAGCTCCGCCAAGGTCTCCAGCAGAATTGCCAAAATCAGAAAGGTCAGCCGGCATTTGGTGAAGTATGTCGAATAAACGCACCAGTAGCCGTCTTGGACCAACTCCGGAGATTCCAAGTCCGACGGAAGAACGATCTCAACGTTTGGGAACACTGTATTTTCATATAAAATAAAACTAAGTTGATATTTAGGCTCACGTTTTTGAAAATCAGCATGAAAAGACTTAGCTAAAAAAAAATGAATTTATAAGCTTATGATAAAAGTCCACATAAAATTTAAATGAACAGTTATAGCAGGTGAAATCAGCATTATAACTAAAATAAAAATTAATATGAAAAAAATAATTAACAAAGAAAAATCATTCATGTAAAAAAAATTAACTTGATGTCTATATTACCTATCTTAAAAATCAACAACAAAAGAGCTTTATAAAGACAAAATATAAGTCCTACGTATATCAAGCATACAAATCTTTTTATAGATTAATATAAAATTACTTTCAAACGATGTAAAATATATAAACAAAATTAATTGAAATTAAATTCAAAAAATTTCTGATTTCTAAAATAGTTGTATCGATAATGAATAACTATCTAAAGTTACAATAGGTTTACAAGAGTTTCTAATTCAAACATATTTTTAAATATACAAAGTTTAAAATAATGTGTGTTTTTATTTAAAAACTAACAAAGAAAAACAGTGCATAAGTAATTTTACAAGTAGTAAAGTCTGATTTCTATACATAGCTACTATTTATATATGAACCAAAATTAATAACAAATGAATAACACATTCTAAAATACTATTTAAATAATAAAGTATGACAAAGTTATGAATCAAACACAAATTATTATATATAGATAAATATTCAAATCATAATATGTAGAAAGCACACAAAAGATAACAAAAAACAGTAAAAAATAGTGCAAAGACTCCACACCACCAATCCTAAAAGTTTCAAAACTAAAATTATCAAATATTAGATTAAAAAAAAAAGATCTCAATAATCAACTGAATAAAGATATAAGTTAAAACTTGTGGAAGACCTTGTGGAGAAGCGAGAAACGAGTTTACACAATCATTACACCTTCCTTTCAAAACTAAATGCGAACCAATATGAATCATGGATTATATATGTATAGGTACACAACATCAATGAGATATCTAAGAAAAAACTAAATAATTGGACACATAAACCTTAAAGAAAAAAAAACTGTAGAAATCCTATGGAAAACAAAAAAAATATCAAGATCTTAGTAAGAAAATCCTTCTCTAAATCAGATGTATGGATACATAAAAGTTGGATAATTCGATAGGTGTCATTGTTATTATTTTATTTAATAAGATATAAAAATAAGAAAAAACTATAAATTATATTTTAACTAATATTATATAAAAAAAATTATTAATCTATTTTTTTGATAATTTAAAGATAGTAACTAAAAAATAATTATATCAAACTATTATTACAGATTTATGGGTAGAAGGCAGCAAAATAAAGCTATCGTTACAAACTTACAAGTTACAACAAAAAGATATTGAAAAGAAATGGGCTTCCAATTTACTTTTACAATCTTCCCTTCATAAAATAAGCAAATGGGCCTGATCAGGTCTGGCCCAAATAGGTAAAAAGCCACCTCCGTCGTCTTCTTCTTCCGTAAGAACAACTGTAGAAAGAAGGGCTACCTCCACTGTAATCGCAACTTCTTCTGTCTCAGCCTCCACTCCTGCGTCTGTAAGCAAGCAAATTGGGGCACAAAAACATGGGGAAGAAGACTAAGAAGGCCGGTAAAGGAAAGGAGAAAACTGAGAGAAAAACCGCAAAAGCAGAGGAGAAGAAAGCACGACGAGAAGACAAAAAGCTCTCTCCTGAAGACGACATCGACGCTATTCTCGTATTTTACCCTTTTCCTCTGAATTATCATCTTGATTTTTTCCAACTTTTTACTCTGAAATTTTCTGTAATCTGCTTCTTTAGGTTTCTTCTTATTAATTGTTTGAGTTCTCATAGATTCTGGTTGGCTTCTAAGTGTATTGGTTTAAGTTCAGAATTAGTGTGTTGGTTCTGCTCTGTTCATAGTTTTGTGGGTTTTTATACTGATCAAAAGAGACTCTTTAGTAGAATAATTGCAACAACAAAATTTCACATTTTTCTACATTTTGGCACAATGTAAGGTTTAAGCTTATGAACTAATGTGTTGGGTTCATAGTTTTATGGGCATACTGATTAAAATGGACTACTTTAGTAGAATGATTGCAACAACAAAATTTCACATTTTTCTATATTTTGGCATAATGTAAGGTTCTCTAATGTTGTATGTTGTTTACCAGTTGAGCATACAGAAGGAAGAGGCTAAGAAGAAAGAGGTCAATGTTGAGGAAAATGTGCCAGCGCCATCTCCTAGGTCAAATTGCTCGGTTAGGCTTTGCTTCTGTCTTACTCTGTTCTTTAAAGATTGAAGCTTTTTTGATTTAAAGCTTTCGAATTTTTCTGAATCTCTGCTGATTGATGAATATTGATGCAGCTCACTATAAACCCCTTGAAAGAAACTGAGCTGATACTCTATGGAGGCGAGTTTTATAATGGCCAGAAGGTTAGCTTTCAAAAATTGATTTTACAATCTCTTTTGTTGTTGTTTGTATTCCCCTTGTTAAGGACTGTATGATTATCTAATCATGTAATGAAATTTAATCTTTTCCTGTAAATGCAGACATATGTATATGGCGACCTATACCGATATGATGTCGATAAGCAGGAGTGGAAGTTAATTTCAAGCCCGAACAGTCCACCTCCTCGCAGCTCTCATCAGGCAGTTGCTTGGAAGAATTATCTCTACATATTTGGTAGATTAAAAACGTCTAGCTTGTTCCTTTAATCTTCATTTCTTTTGGTCCATATTTGTAAGCTTTCTTGTTTTTCATTGATTAGGTGGTGAATTTACATCTCCAAATCAAGAGCGGTTTCATCACTACAAGGTGAGATTAGTATACTTCTCTGTGTTTGCTAGTCTATTACTTTTTTTTTTGTTTCTCATGTTTTAACATTGGGTTTAATTTATAGGACTTTTGGATGCTGGACGTGAAAACTAACCAATGGGAACAGTTAAATTTGAAAGGATGTCCTACTGCACGTTCTGGTCATCGTATGGTAAGTCTTTGATGTATCCTGACGAATGTGCCTTAAAAGTTAGCAATGCTAATAGCTGCTGGAATAAGTAGATAGAGGCTGACTTTGAATACAATTTTCCTCCTCTAGCTGAAGCAAGATATAGCCTGACTTTTTCTATACATTCTCCATTGAACAAGCACATAGACTAATGTTAGATATTTAAGACTGTAGAGATTATTTCTTCACATTTTGTCTTGAAGTTTGTACGTCAAAAGTGTGAATTTGGAAGGGTTGTTCCCTGTGTGCTGCTTAATTTTCAAACTATCTTCTGAGATGAATGTATGATCTCGAATTCTGCTGTTCGCTTAGTGGAAATGTACTTTTGTAATTAATCAACTCTTGCTTTCCCTCAAGTAACCAAACCCACAAGTTCTTATCCTGCTATATCTTACTTCTTCTCCAGGTATTATACAAGCACAAGATTATCATTTTTGGTGGCTTTTATGACACTCTACGTGAAGTAAGGTAGTAATTTACTCATTCATAAAAATTACATCAAGATATCGATGTCATCACTTTGTTGGTAGTTTTTCTCCTCTTTGTTAATTATTTTGCAAATTTAGTAAATTTAGTAAATGAGAATCGACAACGTAGACATTTTCTACTAGATTTAGTTAAATTAGGAGATTAATGTGATTGGACATTGATCTTCTCTAAGCATTTGTTTGATGTAACATCTTTATAAGTTAGCTTCTGCTATCCACTTGCAGGTATTACAATGATCTCTATGTGTTTGACCTCGATCAATACAAGGTAAATCTACCTTACATTGCAGAAGTTTCCACCCATTTCAATTCTTACCTCTCGAAAGCTTTTTCGGCCTTGTAGTGAATATACTTTGATGTTTCTTTGATAGTGGCAAGAAGTAAAGCCTAAGCCTGGTGCAATGTGGCCTACAGCTAGAAGCGGTTTCCAGTTTTTTGTTTATCAAGATGAGGTCATTTTTTTACATTGTACATGTCTATATCATATCCTTCAAGTCCAAACTCTCTTTATTTTCCTGTATAAAGTTAATAGAAGGGAACAGATCATTTTTTTCAAAGGTTCAAACATAAACCATTTATTTAGAAGAAAGCCTTTCCTGCTGCAGATATTCTTATATGGTGGTTATTCAAAAGAAGTCTCATCAGAGAAAAGCTCTGAGAAAGGAATAGTTCATGCAGATTTGTGGTGTCTTGATCCCAGAACTTGGGAATGGAACAAAGTATGTACTTTTACTGTTATTAATGTTTTGCAATTTCTTTCATTTATAAAATTTGACAACCCTGTAGATTTAACCTCTTTTGCTTTCTTGCTTTACTTAGGTGAAGAAAATTGGGATGCCTCCTAGCTTCCGTGCTGGATTTTCGGTTTGTGTCCACAAAAAGCGTGCTTTGCTGTTTGGTGGTGTCGTCGACATGGAAATGGAAGGTCAGGATATGGTATCCTTGTATCATTTTTGAATATACCAGAATTTGTGAGTTGAATTGTTGACTTCTGTAAGTTTTTTTGGCAGGTGATGTAATGATGAGTTTATTCTTAAATGAACTCTATGGCTTCCAGTTAGATAATCGCCGCTGGTAAGAATCCAGTAACGGTTCTTCCGAGGACTCAAACTATGAAATTTCTTCTCAAAGTACTTATCGTTTTCTAAATTTTACACCTGAAGGTTGTAGGAGTTAAGGCATTAGTTTTTCATTTGTATAACCGACTCTCTGTTTCTATGAAGAACAGGTACCCCATAGAGTTACGAAAAGAGAAATCATCGAAAGATAAGGTACGACTATCTCTATTAGAGTTTTTGTTGCGTGCTGTTTAAACTTGTAACAGAGAAAACCCATCTCTGGATCCGTTGTCTTATGGTTAGATGTTTCAAATGAGTATATAGACACCTGTACGGTTTTTTGTACAGGCAAAGAAGAGTTTGGAGGCAAAACCAATGGCATCTAATGATGATGATGATGAGATGGAATCAGCAGAAGAAGATGAATTATCGGCCATTGTTGACGCGGCAGGCTCTTATGATGGAATATCTGAACGTATGGCAGCAGGTCTAACTGTTGAGGGAAATAATAAGGCTAAAGCTAGACTGGATCCACAAGTTTCTGTCTCAGAAGAGGTTTGTTATGACAAAAATTTGTGTAATTTCCGTTATGAGCTTTGATGCCAACTTTTTATTTGTTGTGCAGGTTGTAAAACCATGTGGACGTATTAATTCTTGTATGGTCGTTGGGAAGGATACATTATACATATATGGTGGCATGATGGAGATAAAAGATAAAGAAGTTACTCTTGATGATTTGTACTCGCTTAATCTTAGCAAACTTGACGAGTGGAAGTGTATCATTCCGGTTTGTTCCACATCAATCTCCATTTCTTTTTGTGTATTTTGGTATCTTTTTGTGTCTTTTGATAACAACACGTTTCTTGCCATGTCTTTAAATCAGGCGACTGAGACTGAGTGGGTGGAAGTCTCAGAGGACGAAGAAGGGGACGAAGACGAGGATGAAGATGATAGTGACGATGAAGGAAATAGTGAAGAAGAGTCTGATGAGGACGATGACGAAGAAGAAGCAGAGGTCCTGGTTTCAGTCTACATATGGTTTTAGTCTTTTCCCTCTTCTTTGTCTTGTTGACTTGATTTGGCTATGTAAAATCTAGGCTATGGATGTTGATGGATCAGTGAATGTGGGAGAAGTTGTGGCAATGATAAAAGGAGGAGGAAAATCTCTCCGAAGAAAAGAGAAACGAGCTCGGATAGAACAGATTAGAGCTAATCTTGGACTCTCAGATTCACAGAGAACCCCAGTGGTAATAATATTCTTGGCATTTCCCTTTTTGTGTTTTCTGAGAAAGAGATTCTGTTTGAAGCTTCTCAGCTAATTTGATCATGTTTGTTGTCTTTGAAGCCTGGAGAAACTTTGAAGGATTTCTATAAGCGTACTAATATGTACTGGCAAATGGCTGCCTACGAGCACACTCAACATACCGGAAAGGTATATGCTAATCTCATTTTTGGATTGACATATTGTAGAAATTTTTGTTAACGAGTCATGAACATTATGATCAACATGTAATTTGGTATTGTTAGGAGTTGCGGAAGGATGGTTTTGATCTTGCGGAAACTCGGTATCTGGAGCTCAAACCCATTCTAGATGAGGTAAAACAACATCAGTCTCTCTTATTTTCTTCTCTCTGTAAAGTTTTAAAAGGGTATCAAGTTTTTGATGTGTGATGATGGATGAATGTGTAAATTTCGCAGTTGGCAATACTTGAGGCAGAGCAAAAGGCTGAAGAAGCAGAAGGACCTGAGACTAGTGGTAGCTCTAGAAAGGGAGGAGGTATTGCAAAGAAGAAGAGATGAGAGGTTTTGCTGCTTTAGCAGAAAGTATCATATAATACAGTTGAATATCAGTTTTGAAGTATGATTCTTTCGTTACCTACTTAATGCGAGGCTGTGACGCTTTTGTAACAATTTTGAACTCTTTGAACTTATCAAACTTTGAGCCATTATTAACTCTCGATAAAGAATTTTTAGCCAAACTTGATCAGATCCTAAAATGGGGAGCTCTATGACTAAAGCTATCATTGCAACCTATAAAGTCTTCCCCATCGATTCCTATTCATCGGCTAATCCGATCAACCAAACTTGATCAGATCCTAAAATGGGGAGCTCTATGACTAAAGCTATCATTGCAACCTATAAAGTCTTCCCCATCGATTCCTACATCGTCTAATCCGATCAACCGACTAAACTGGAACACCCAAGTAGAAACACTATATCTTACAAACTAAAGCATCGTGATGTACAACTTGAAGAAGTACATGTATTTTGTGGAGATGCACACAACATTAGCGATGATAATAACGGGATATGCGTCTACTGGGCTGATAAAGCAAAGGAGGAGAAATACGGGCAGCTTAAACTTATGGAAGAGAAAAGAGAGAAGCCACTACATGTGGGATGCGTGGGAGGTTCGTATTAAAAAAGCTGAATAAGAGAATAACGAATTTCTCTAATGTATGTGTTTGGCTAATTTCAGTTGGTTCTTTTTTAAAAAAAAGTTGGGATGGTTGGTCAAGCTCGTTGATTGATCTTTAATGACATTTTAATCTTAGTTTAATTCAGTTACAAGGTGATCGGTCCGCACGTGTGCGGACTATAAAACATTTTATATGTTTAATATATGATTAAGATTGTATTTGAGGATATTCTATTTGTACATGATATATATTTTTCTTTGATCTATTGTTAATTAAACCAAATGGGTTTTATCATCTTTATTTATCTTAAGAGAGGGTAGATGGTTGGCCCGCACATTCGTGCGTACCAACCATCTCACCGCTCTTAAAACATATAAATATTTTTTACAAAAATATAAATTGTCTAAACCTTAAAATTAAAATTGGACTGTAATCGAGGTTAACAAAATGCATACACGGCAAGTTCGCATGCGACTTTGACTTTTGCATAGTTAATACATATATCTATACACACATTTGTGGAGAAATCGAAGTATGGCTTTTATGTGTTAAAAGGAAATAACAAAGTATATATTTTATAAGATATATATTTATAATATGTTATGCTTAAATTTTTAAAAGAAATATATATATATATATATGTATGTAAGTATGAGCTAGAAATAAATAAATTGTAATATTTAAGTGTTGATTAGTTTTTCTGATATTTTCCGCAAACGTTATGTTTTTACACGATGCTGTTTTCGGCGTTTAACAACAACCACGAAAATTGTTTCTATCGTTTAGTATTTAATCAAAATTTCTTATTTTTCAGCTTTTTATGATATATGGTTTCAAAATATTTCAATAAATTACAAAAAACTCTGAAAAAACATTAAAATATAAGATTTGGCTTTACCATGAAGATAAGTATAGTACATTGGATAATCTATTAGTAATTTTCCTTTTCAATAAAAAATATAATAAATTTATTGTCCTTACACAATCTTGAAGAATACTTGAAGATATTCTCTATAATATGCTTTATTTCTCCTTACACAATCAAAAATATGCTTTTTTACGTCTTACATAATATGAATTTGTAAATACAATTATTTTATATATTTTAAGTATATATTTTTTCTTGATTTATTGCAGATTAAACTGAAATAGATTTTAATATTTTTACTTATCCTTAGAGCAGATAGATGGTTGGCACGCATGTGCGGACATACCAACCACCTCACTACACTTAGAATAGATAAAGATTTAAGAAAAAAAAAATGTTGTATAATAATTAATATAAAAATTAGACTGTAATCAAGCGTAACAAGATAAATGCACGAAAAAGTTCGCATGTGACTTCAACTAATGCACAATTAATATTTATGTATGTATGCATATTTGTAAAAAAGTCAAAATATGGCTCTTATGTGTTAAAACGTTTTTAAGTGACTTTGTAAAACAAAGTGCGAGAGATCTATTTTTATATACTTCTATTTTTATTTCTTATTCATATATTTTTTATCTTATTTTAATTTATTCTTTCGTTTGGTTATTTTCACTTCATTTATGATCTCAAATTTTTGATATACAATGAAGCTAAATTTATGAATATATATATATATATATGAATACGATATAAAATTTTATTTGTATTTAAAATATGATAAGAGATAAGATGAAATGGTAAGTACATTTTAGAAAACAACAACAAAAAGATGATAAAAATTATATAAAAATATATGGTCCTATTAATATTATAAATTAATAATTAGTATATACTTTATTCATTTAGTAAATATTGGGTTGAAAAGAAAATTTATTTTAAATTACGTTTTTTAAAAAAAATTCAATAAAAATTAGTCATTTTTATTATTTTTAATATTTTATTCTTTAAATTATTTTTATCATGATTGTATAACTTGTTTAGATGTTATTACTATATTTTGCAAATTAATAACTCTCCAAAATAAATATATATCATACTTCAAATATTATTAATATATATAATATTTACTATTCTATCGGATAATTTAATATTATTTTTTTTTGTTTTTATATGTAATCATAATATATATACATATATATTGTTGAAAAAAATTCGTAATTATATTTATGAAATTATGAATATATGTAACAAATTAATATCATAATAATTAATATTTTCTGTTAATTTAAATTTGTTAATTTTAGTGTTATAAATATAATTTAGTGTATATATGTTTTAATTCCATAATTTCTTTAATTTTAATTCAACCAAACGAAAACTTACGAAGTTTGACATGTCACATTTACAGGTTATCAATTAAAAGCACTAATTTTGGCTATAGTGTTGACAAGTCAGCTATTTTCAATAATGTTACTTCTCAAATAATATGTAGTGGATTTATTTTTTAATGACGCATGCTATACATTTTCTTCACAAATCTTCTGTTCTATTTCATATTCACCATTTATTTGTTGAATTGAACTCGGATCTGTATTTTGGTTGACATCGGAAGCTTTGATATCATTTATGATGAGCCTGGAGACCAATTTTCTACAATTCAACTTTAACAATGGCGAAACAAAGAAGAAAATTGAGGAATTTCTACTCCTGATGTAGATGCTTTGGAAACAAAGAATAATGCTTTGGAAACAAATAATCATGTTGAATCTTTTCCATCCGACAAACCTAAAGTCATCATGAATTCTTCTCCTAATTTCTCGGATCGACGCTGTAACAACATGATGATTTCTATAGAAATGGAATCATTTGATAATATACAGTCCTTTTCCTACAATATACGGATCATCCAGATATGTCTATTATCTCTCACACTTTTGACGGACTGAATTACAACAATTGGCTTATAGCGATGAAAATCAGTTTTGATGCGAAAAATAAGCTTACATTTGTGGATGGATCTCTATGTAAATGATAATATGTAAAGATTTAGAGTAACAATAGCCTGGATAATGAATATAGTTAACAAAGAGATATATAATAGCATTTTATATTACAAGGATGCGGCTGAGATGTGGAACGACTTGTATCTACGTTTTCGTGTTAACAGTCTACCACGTAAATATCAGCTAGAACAAGCTATCAATTCGTTTAAGAAAGGTTCTCTCGATTTGTCTACTTATTATATCAAAAAATAGTCTCTCTAAGAACAGTTTGCAAACACAAAAAATTCACACTGCAAATAAGGTAAAGGAGTTATTGGAAGATGCTGAAACAAGTATGATCATTGAGTTTTTCATGGGATTAAATTATAATTTCTCCAACATCAGAGGCAATATTCTGAACATGTGTCCTTGTCCTGGATTATCTGATATACACAACATGCTGGATTAAGGTGGGAGTCAACGTGTGGTTGGTTTACATCATAAAGAAAGTTGCTACCAAATCCAAGAATCCACCATGTCTGATCCTTCTCAGATCCTCTTCGCACATGATAATTTCAAGAAGCCAAAATGCTCACACTGTAAGAAGATTGGACACATTGTTGACCGTTGCTACAAATTTCATGGATTTCCTTCTGATAGTGAAACCATCTACTACGATAGGAACCACAGATATGACGAGTCTCAAAAACACTTCTAATCTTCCACAAGAGCAAAAGCTGGATACAGATTATGATAATATGTCAAAAGAACAGATTCAGACAATGATGTCCTATCTCAGTTCCAAGCTACATACTCCTACTATTACTTCAACACCTCACATTGTTTGTGATTTGACTTCTACTTTTGTACCTACTATCTCATCGGTATCAAGTACTTTCCTAAATCTCTACAATCACAAATACTATGACATGCTTCTTTCTTCTACATCTACAAAACCATAAGTGTCTCTCTGGGTTGGGTTATAGATGCATGAGCAACTCATCATATCACTCACAGTAGAGATCTCTTTACAAATTACAAGCCTTTTGATAAAAAACTATACTACTCCCCCCTAATGGTTAAACAGTTAGCATAGTGGGCATAAGATTCATTCAATTGACTGATGTGATCTCTCTCTATAATGTGTTATACGTACCTGAACTCAAAGTTAAAATTGCTGAGTGTAAGTGTTTTGACTAAGATTTTAAATTCTAAACTGAGTTGTATTGCTGATGCATGTTTCATCGAGGTAATGACACGAGAATTAATGATTGGTCAAGGTAGCCAAGTCGGCAACTTATATGTCCTGCATTTCAACCAATCAAATAATATAGTGTCTTTATCTGATATATCATGTATTTCTTCTTGTGTTAGTGTTCACAATTATTATGTAACTTGTCATAGGAGATTGGGTCATCCTTATCACTCCAAAATATATTCCTTTTCTGATGTATTGAGTTTGAAAAAGGTTAAAGATAATAATAAACAGAATTCTGATACTTGTCATGTTTTTCATTTATCCAAGCAGAAACATATCCCATTTAAATCACGAAATAACATGTGTGTGATTCCATTTGAATTAGTTCACATTGATACTTGTGATCTTTTTTATGCCTACTATTGATGGTTATAGATACTTTCTCATCATTGATGATGCTTACATTAGAGATACTTAGGTTTATTTGCTACATAATAAGTCTGATCTTCTGCATGTCTTTCCGAA